CCCTGCCACCCAAATTTTACCCACAGCCAGTGTGTTATTTCCTAAATGTAGTATCGTTAGTGGAAGCTCAGACCAAGCCTCGAAAGAGGATCATTAACTGCAGCTATTACTAACTTCTAGTTCTCGCGGAGAATTTGATCGTGCGGAGCCCCTACTGGTTGATGCATATAAGATGTACAAGCATGAGAAGTGGAGTCTCTTAGCATCACAGTGTCTGGTCAAACTGGCTCAGTGTCAAAAGCAACTCAAACACATGGACAAGTATCTTTCACGCCACCGAGCAGAAATGTTTTCTGTAAGGAAACTAAACTTTAAAATTTTTCACTGATTGTTGCCTCTCATGACCTTGGCAAGTGCATAGGAATCGAACCTTTCTTTAGTTAAACAGAAGTTCTAATCTCAAAAATAGCGCAAAAATAAAATAGAAGGCTATTGTGAAATGCTTATGAAAGATGCAACTAACATTCTAACTTCACTTCCAAGTTTTTGAAACACTGTTTACAACAAGGTAATAAAAATAATATTAAAATACCAACAACGTTCAATATAGAGGAGAAGAAAATGCCAAATAAAGTGGGCGTGTGAAGGGAATAACTATTTAGATTTGTAGTCCTAAATAATTAAATTGGAATCAAAACTATCCGATTCACTCTAATGCTTTGGTAGGCTGTGGCTCTCGAAAACAGAAATGGCAAAACTATGCTGAGCTTTCAAATAAGTGATGGAATTTCTATTTCTTCATAAAAGAAGCTTTACTAAATGAGTTAACTTGTGTCAAGCTTGCATAGATAGTGATTTTACTTGTAACAGTTTTTAAATTTAATTTTCAACTAACAAGTTATCACGGCACAAACCTATCTGTACAGGAAGCACTAATGTAAGGGTTGAAAACTGTCCTTAACTCATAAAAGATATGCTGCTTCTTGCTCAATTTTGGCTTGTGAAGAACATCTATCTCCTGACAAGAGGTCATATTATACTCAGGAGTTGTTGCAAGTCATGCGAGAGACTATGGACTCAGGTAATGAATGCTGTGAACAAAATATACTTTAAATAGTCTATATTAATTCTTGCTAAAATTATTATGTAGAGCGAATGGTGCGCTAAGCAATTCCCAAAAAAGCAAACTAGCAAGAAAATTATGCTAGAAAGAAATTCTGGTACAACTTAAGTCATCTTTATAAAATCCTCGCACAAAACTATTGCCAAGCCTAAATATAGAGACCTCTTTCTTGTTTTTAAGTCTCTGGTCGAAGGACCTCCGAGTTTCTCCTGAAAAAACTCCATACTGGTGACGTAGGTTAACAACGATCGATACGTGTGGCGTCACTGATTGGTTGTAACTTGCGCACGAAAATTCAAAACCAGAAACCACCAATCAGAGCACGACATCGATCCCGGTAGAGTTTCGTCATCAGTATGGATTTTTTAAGTACTTCTCAGACCTCTATTTCTTGGCTCGGACAATTTGACTACGCAGAGAGAAACACGTCCTGTACTCCGGTTAACAAATATATGACCATTTTCATGTTCTCTTTCAGCTCAAGCTATCATTGTACGCGCTGAGCCACTGTTGAAAGTGAAAGATGTGCAGATTGAGCTGATGAAGGGTATCGGCAGTGTTGGGGAGTGTATCAATGTTAAACTCAAGCTGTTTAGCGCTTTGGAGGAGGTAAACTTCTGCTTCTGCTCAGAGAAATGGATGTTTTTACAAGCTAACGTTCCGCGATGCTTTTGTGATGTTTTAGTGGTTATAAACTACCTGTCAGAGAAAAGTGAAAAGTTACGATAAATCACTGGTTGTCTAAATTTGTATATTAAATACTTATTAACCGAGAGTGGGGTCTTTACGAGAAAATCTCAAACCGAGTCGTGCTTGCCGTAGTGACCTCGCTATCGCTCGGTCAATACGGTAAGGCCGAGGTTTGAGGTGTAACCGTAAAACCCGAGTGTTCGAGGTTAATACGTAGCTTACTGTATGGCTTTTTGCTTGTCTTTGCAAGCCCGTGATCGGTTGATGAGCATTACGGCACATTAATTCCCTAGAATTAGCCAATCAGAGCGCGCGTCATAACAAGGCATGTAATAAAAATCTTCACTGAACAGAATAGTGTTCCACTCTCACAAGAGTTGTTTACTTTATCAAATAGGCCTATAAAAAGGGATAAAAGCTAAGGACGTGCAATCCCTTTACACTACCTAATTTTATATTTACTTTTGAACAAAATTGACAGGGTTTCAGTTTGATTGTGAAACATTTCCTATGATGGATCACGTTCCTCTTTAGTTTATTCCGAGGAACTGCACCTAATGAACTCCGTTAAGGCAGCTTGATTTTGTTTGCGCATTAACGGTTGGATTTTCTAGTTTTCACTGCTTAATGTTGCTGTTCTCCGCAGGAAGTGACGTGTGGACGGATCAGTTTTAGTATCCAGACAAATGAACTTAAACGTGGATCAAGCACTCGCTCAAGTAAACGAAACAGAGCAGCATCCCCGCCGGTTATTGTGGACAGCGGTCTCTCATCGGCTGCTCTTTCTGAGGAAGACCTGTCAGATAAACCTGTCGCAGAAGGCCAGGCGGCAGGTGGGGCTTGCTTTACTTGTCTGTTCCTTGTCACAGAGTCTTATTGATTTAGTGTCACGCAGTGAAATGGCAACATTTTCAATTGGTTTTCCACCGCTACGTCTGCAGTTTTCGAGAGAGACTTTGCTATCGAAATATACTAATAGTCATGTGAGAAAAATTTAAGAGGGAATTCTAAGCTACTTATCTTAAGCTTTGCCCACCTTTCTGTTTCTTGTCACGCAATGTTTAAGTAGAAACTAATTGTGTCATAAAAATGACTTAGTGTCACGTTGTGAAAGAGTNGGGGGGGAGAGAGGCAGTCGTCAGAGTACCAGATCCTAGCACAGTAATAGTTAAGAGTGAATGTCGGTAAGAATCGATTCACGATTCACGGAGATTTCAACGTCTGTGTAACGAGAAGCCAAAAAGTGTAAATTTTCGCGTTCTCGCGAAGCGAAATCTAAGCTTCTGTTACCATGACCGTTTTTCATGGATTTCTGATTTTATATTGAAAATTTCCAAAAACTAGACCATTATCCTTCAGTAAGTCCGCTTACGCCAACATACCGACGAAGTTTAATTAAAATTAATTTTAATACCTTGGCCACGATTTCTTTGATTTTTACTGGCGTTTACTCGTAATCTCGCTTTTCTTAGAGGGAGAGGATGCTCCAAACGATGACAGAGAGGAAAGATCTCGCCCACTCCTCCTTAAACCACAGTCATTACCAGTGGTGAAGAGCGTAGAAGAATTGAACGTGTTAGAAGAAGATGATTCGGACTGCTGCCTGCAGTGCTTCAACGTCCCACTGAGACACGGCATCAATGAGTACAACCTCACTACACAGGTCGGTTTATATGTAGCGTAAAACGCGAATTTGAGTTATCACACGCTAGGGTTTCATACACAGAATTAAAACTTTGAACTACGTGCAGCATAATAAACAGTATCACATGAACGTACTGCTCAATAGCTGTCATGTGAATGGTCACACACTAGGATTTCATCTCCAGACTTCAAAGCTAGAACCACCTTGTATAGCATAATAAACAGTACCACATGAAAGTACTGCTCAATAGCTTTCATTTGAATGGTCACACACTAGGATTTCATCTCCAGACTTCAAAGCTAGAACCACCTTGAACAGCGTAATAAATACAACACAATACCACATGAAAGAACTGCCCAACAGCTTTCATTTGAATGCTCACTCACGAGTGTTGCATCCACTCGAAAATACAGTCGAAACCCAATTAAGCGGCCGCCTATTAAACGGGCACCCTTATTAGGTGGCCAGTAATCAAAGTCCCGATGAAAGCTTTTCTATTGTTTTTACCTCTATTAGGCGGCCAGCCCCCTATAGCGGCCACTATCCATTTCCCCGAGAATGGCCGTTTAGTAGGAGTTGAACTGTATGTGAATCTCACGTTTACGAAGGTTACGTTTCGTCTAAAAGAATTACCACATCAAACGCTAACCAAGCACCACAATAACCTGCACCTCCGTACCAAGTACTGTGTGCTGTTTGCAATCTGCTTCGTTTGTGTAGGTAGCGGAACCTGGGCATTACTTTCTGAAGCAGCTTTGCGTTGAGATTGGTCGGTTGGACTTTGTGTGGCCACAGCTGTCCTTAGCTAGAGAATCCAGAGGATTTGCGATTGTTAACGATCCTCCACGAATAACCTGGACACATGCAGAAGGTTTGTTAGTGCTCGTTATCCAAACTATGGCGCGAATACCAAGTTACTTCTGCCTGCCTGGCTCGAAGATACGTCAGAGGATTAACAATCTCTTTCTAAAACCATGGGCTGATACGCTTGTTGGAGACGAGATTTCCACAGAAATTTGTATTTCTTTTCTTGAATCAAAACACTTGCAGCATTTGCGTGTTTCTCGTTTGTTTCTCAGACCATTGCCAAGATCGATTATTTTCAATTTAATTGGAAAATGAAGGACGAAGGGTGTCCTCTAGTTTTGTCTGTTGTTATCAGATATTTGTTAACGCAGTTTCTTATTTTTTGTTCTCTGTGTGTCTGGTTTGTTTAGTAGAGCCCTCGCTCATAGATCCTAACTGAGAATGTCTCCCTTTAACTCGTTCTTGATTTTTGTGGGGATGTTACGCCCTTTGTAGGCTCTAATTAAACAATACACAGCATTTTAAAACGTTTTATTGAAGAACCTCCATTGTTACTTGTATTTTGAGATATTCACGCCCTTTTGAAACAGATAGGGAAGAACTTATCAAGTAAAATCCATAAACTGGTAATTTTTAATATTGTCTACTCTGCTCTCCAGACCGCCATCTCTTATCAGGACTTCCGCAGCAAGTCACCCTTAGCATTTTAGTCGAATCTGGATCCATTGCAAACGGCTCAGTACTGGAAATCACTTCACAGAACACAGGTCTCACTTTTGAACCCATACAGTCAGGCGAGGCAGTTGTGCATTCCTCATTAGGCAACGAAAACAGTAAGACTTTACCCTACAAAGTTCAAACCCTTACAATGCACGGCTATGATGACGTCACCGATACGTCCGTTGCTATGGTAACCCTTCCAGCCGTCGGACCGTATGCTAAGATTGATTTCAATCTGATTCTCCATGCGTCTTTGGAGAAGCAGAGTTTTCAAGAGGAAGTTACGGTATATAAGGTGTGTATTTTTAAGTCTAAAGCCGATAACTTAACTGGTAGAATCATTAGTAAATTAAGTAATTTCATGTGATTGATAAGCAATAAGGAGGAAGTGAAAATATATTTGATCATTTGTATTTATCATTTATGCACTACAAATTAACCTGTTGTGCTATCATGACATCAAAACAACTTTGAGGTGATGGTGTTTTTATTTCTTGGAATTTGTGCGCTTTTCATTTCATTTTTGGCTTAATGTCAATATTTATAGTAAGTTTTAGCCGTAAATTTATAATATTTCATTGGGAAGATTGACTAATAATAAACGATTTGCAATTCAGCGTTGTTATTGAGCTAATCAATGAGTTATTGATTGTCCTGTCCATTAAAAGCGAAACAGACGAGAAGGAAGTTTCCAGCCTATATTATGTTAACATCGTTTTTTAAAAGTTTGATTTCGTTGCTGTTTATTTTCAGCTGATGTTCAGTTGTAAATGGTTATCTCCTGTGGTTACCGCCGACCTATCTTGTTCATTTCACCGTCCATTTTCCGTCCGTCACGTACTCCACTCATCAGAAACCACGTGAGTCAAACAATCTGTGTTGAGTGTTTTACTTTGTTCGTTAGTTTTGTGATGGGAATGACAACGACTAATAGTTGTCAGAGAAAGTATTCAAGGGTTCTTCAATATGAGCTAATATGACGGACGAAGAATTAAACACAGTAGATGTAGCTTGGCGCAAAGAACAAATTGCCTGCTGAACTTGCAAAAGGGGCAAGAAACGAAGTTCTCGCACACTGAATGGACGGGAGGGGGCTGGTGGAATGGGTTCGAATAAGGATATTAGATATCACACTCGGTCACTTGTTCCAGATTCGTTTTTCTTGCCATACGAAGCAACAACTTTACCACCCACCCAGCCCTTTCGCAAGTCTGTATACAGTCATACTTTGAGTGGTGGAGGTTTTTTAAATAATGAAAGGAGACACATTCAGACTTTTGTTGGTATGAACATTTTATTTTTTGAATACCCATTGTATCTGAGTTGTGAGGGTTGCAAATAAAGTGCTGTTACATTCTTGTGTGGCATACAAATGGCATTCAGTGTGTGAGAATAGAAGAACGTCAACCCGCTCAACGATGATCGAACTTTAAGAGCCACCTTAAATTTTCGAACATTTAAGATGGCTCCCACGCTTTTTTTACATGTAAATTTTGTGAAAAGTTGCAGAACACGACTCAGCCGACACTCTAAACATTAAGCTTGAAAGTTAACCTTGTGTTTGTTGGATTTGTAGCCGTTTTGTTCAGGTCATTGTAAGTGGAATCAACCCAGTAGACCTGATAATTTCGTCGCCGGAGTTGATCATCACAAACTGCTCTTCAGTGAAGCTGATATCAATGCACAGTACTGCAGAATACGTGAGTATTGTTTTTTAACTCCCCTGAGTTATCACCATGTAACGGAGCTGTAATTTGTTCAAACGTTTTTTCTTATTTTTTGATTTGATGCTTTTAGGTGATCATAAATCACCAAGATGTGTCCTTCCTTTGGAAAATCGAGAGTGAAGAAGGTAACGTAGGTTTTATTTCTTAAAACCAAGCTTTTTACTCCGACAGATGTTGGTCAAACCAGAATATTTTATCTCTATAGGCAGTAAAGTAGCTGACAACCTTTGTTGGTTTAAATTAATAGTCCACCATTCTTTCGTAATCCGCAGGTTCACCCTCGCAGTTGGATTGCGAGTTTCGGACTTCGTTTTCACCCAAACATGTTACGGTAAGAATATATAACATAAGACTTTGCTCTCGATCTCCCTGGTTGTTTGAAGAATTGAGTGAAACATTTCGATTGTAAAGTCATATTGCATTATTATTGGAGTCAACACTTGTGATCGTTTGACTTGTCTTGTGACTTTTTATTTGGAAAATCATCAATTTAAGTCATACATTTTACTGTTGCAGACTGATAGCGCGGTTGAGCTATGTGTATTTGAACCATTTTCATAAGA